AATGGCAAATACAAATAGGACCAAGAAGGGTCTAGAGGAGAAGAGCAGAGGCAGAGGATAGTTATCAAAGCCGATACAAGCAAAAATTACCTTTTCACAAAGTGCCTCACATATTAGAAAATTCAATCAAACTAGCATGATGTCATCATCATTTGTTAGTGCATTTGAACTTTGAAGTTTTCACTGGGTCGAAAATCTCTACCCATAACAAAATCATAATCATCAAACTAGCTCCTCAAGGCCACAGCTTACATGAACAAAGGTGTAACACGATGAAAGCCAACGAAGAGCCAAATCAATTTAGCTACTCCCACCTCCATTATGTCCATTTTCCTCATTTATTGGAGTATTCGAAAGAGATTCAGGACCTGACTGTATGGAAGTTGAAGGTGCTGAATCTAAAGTAAACATTAGTCCATTGGTTCATTATGACGAACCTATCACTGACTTCGCAAAACTCACTACTATCTTCCAAAATCACTACATCGTCATCATCGCTGGCTTCCGAATTTTTATCTTGCCGACAGCCACTCATGTTCGTTGTCGTTGCCGGTCTGCCAACCTCTTCGACTTCTGGATTACTTACAAACATCAAGTCATCAAATTCAAACCTTCTCTGAAATGTTTCACAATTTTATGAAGAATTTGGAGCTATATCTATTAATGAACCAACCATGAGCCTTGCGAATATGGTTCGCTCAGCAGCTGATCCGATCCCAACGATAGCATAACAAAGAGGCTTCCTAGAATACAGCAAAACTGATAATAAGAATTCAAAATCACTATCATAATCAATATGAGATGCAACGCTAACTTATGTTGGTTCGCTGATGAAGGAGCTGAAGTAATGAGACCTTTCACTTTTGGCATCTCATCACCAATCGCGGAGTACAGAAGAGAAGAACGCAGACTCTGAAGATTACTGAAGTAGAGATAGCAAAAAAGAGGAATATTCTGTGATCGCAAGTGTAGCGACCAATTCAAAAGAACTTATTACCATCACCATAAATTCAAAGTTATACACCAAACTAGGCAACGGGGCATCCTAGACCATACTACTTTTCTATGAAGACAAAGTAGTATTACAAGGTGGTATTACGGTAGACGATTATGTTTACGGATAGGCTCAAAATTTGCAATATTTTAAGTGCTTTATGCGCCGAACATGTCCATTTCAAGAAAAAATGCTTTTTAAAACATAAAAGTTGTTGGAATGGAAAGAAACTTATGAGAAGCATATCTTGCATAGAATGCAAAAGACCTAAATTCCCAATTTCAGTCGTACGCTTTTTACCATGTAAGACCATATTTATAGCGATCTTTAACGTCATTTTACAAAGAAAGAATTCGGCGATGAGTCTACTCGATATGATCAAGTTCCAAGTTCAAGATTAGATATATTGGAAGAAGCACAAAACACCTCGAAAGGGAAAATTAGGAACTATGAATTACAAAGACAGAAGCTCCAAAAACTCACTTTTAGTGAACTTTTAAGATCATTATGTTCACTCCATTCTTCTTGATCTCCCCACTTCTCTAGTCCTTCTTCTGCTGTTCCCATTAACAATTTCAATTTTGCCCTTTCAGCATTCCTGCGTAAACGTGCAGCTCTTTCTTCGTC